TATAGTGGACTTTGCATACACATTTTCATTACCTATTGATACCAGAAAAATTATTCATGCCTAAAATTGATACCACTGTTTCCCACCTTACAGCTTTGGCTTTTCAGTGTCAACTTGGTAGCAATTTTGTTACCTTTGATTGAACGGAATCCTTCTTAATCGGTCCATGTATAAACTATTTTTGCTTCTTAAAGCTGGAAAATATATTAAACTAAAAGTTAATCGTTACATCTTGAAAATTTATACTTTGCTTATAGATTTGACCTTGTTTCAGTATTTATACAAGAAGCAAAGTCTAATTTGATTCAGAATCATTCGCGATAAAAGCTATGTCCTAGCCTATCATTTTTCGATTTACCTGGAGTGCCTTTTCTTACCTTATTAGCTTGAGGAACATTTGACAAGGACAGTCGAAGAAAAAAATGAAACGGCAGTTTGGCGGCCTTAGTGTAGAGGAGTTAACAAGTAAGTATTACTTTATCAACCCCACACAAAGTGTAGTTGGCGTTTCGACTATTTCACTATAGTAGTCCTTTGCTATTTCTTAATTTTTGTTTTAATTATGATCCATAAAATTACGCTTGTTTAATGTGGGCTATGATTGGATGGGTAGGTGTTTTGTACGAATCTATTTAAACATGTTTGACGTCACTTCAAAATGACAAGCGGAGTAGAATATTGAAGCTTCAAATTGACTAAGCCCAATGCAAACTTTGCGTGTTATCGCCATTACTAACTCTCGTCGTAAATAAAAACTTCACAAATAGACTGTACTTCTTTCAAGGTCACGTAAACTCTTTGTAAACACGCGCGCTTCCCTTTCTCTGACCAAGAGCTGTTCGTCTTTAAAGGTACCGAATTACTTAAAGAATAACATGTCTTGAGCTCAAAGCACGGCGAATTGTCTCAGTAACATAAGATCCATAAATTGTAGTAGTTCACTTTCTCTCAAACTTAACAAGTGAAACAATTTCGGGACTGCGAAATGTCTAAACTGCCTCGGAGCTAAGTAATTAAATATTTTATGGTTTATTACCCTCTTTGTCAAACTCGTTTTCTAAAAGAAATAATATTTGAGTTGAAGCAGAATATTGTACTTACTACAGTAATCTAACATCCTGATTTTGTTGTTGTAAAACTGGAATTCAACTGTTATCCCAATCTTTACTGTATGCTCCTTCAGATATGATCCATTTAAACCACGAAGCTTAAACTTAATCGTTCTTCCTAACTTGACAGCATTTACTGCTACACTGAGCAAATTGAAGCACTTAAATAGCAATCTGGCGGCAAATGTATTTATCTTTAAGTTCTTAAGTCTGTTATTGAAGAGGTCGGAGAACTGATGTGGAAATGGGATTTCCCCCCAAGAATTAATAACGAACTTCAGAAAATAATTGGGCACAGTCATAAAGTGCTTGAAGCTCATAAAGTTTGTTTTCTTGCTCTGCCAAAATGACATTTGAAAATAGTTTGTTTTTTCAGAAGAATTCATATTTAATTGATTAAAAATTGATCCTCACATTGTCTACCAAGCTATAAAGCAACGCGTCGTAAGACACCATCAAAAAAAAGACAAAAACACTTCAAGTTATCACTTACAAAGTTAAAAAATCGATGTTCATTTTCATTCGTGTTTTCTCATTGATATAAGAGTTTCTGGCTTCAATTGCAAAGGTCTGCTAAACGATTTTCTTTACTGTTTTCGAGAGGTTAGTGATAGATACCTTTAAGTATGGTTTTGGAGTTTGTTAAGTTATTTTTATGTAGAATCGTGATTTTCTCAAAAGTACCGATAAATAAGCGGTAGTTTTTTTGTAGTCCTACCGCATATTATTAAAACACACTGTTGGTCCACGCAGCTTCCTAGCACAGCTTTTGAATTGTAAAATTAAATTTATTTGGCACTCCAGAAAAGTACGCAAGTGAAACCTTTGTATTAATTCCACCATCAGTTAGACAATGGCTTTCAACGGATGTAACTGACGAAAACGACACTATTGATCACAATCGTTCTTATGGCCGATCAAAATCCTCCTTAATATTTTCTATTTAATTGATAAAAGCCGACTTTTTCTTATAACTGTCTTCATTTTGTGTTCTGAAAAATGATTAATTTTGTATTTAGCTAAATTGTTTTCTTCTATTTCAGGATTACTTTCATTCCGCATGCGGCTTCACAAAGAAAAATAAGCCAACGTCTAATCAACATTCTTAGTTTCAGGTAGATTATTATAATTAGTCCACTACTTGATCAAAATATATCTAATGAGGTTTTTAAGGGAAAACAAATGATTGGTGTTTTTGAAGTGTCTAATCTGATTCAAATTACGATATCGCTGATTGAACGTACTGCTTTCATTCTGCATTACCAAATAAAATAGGAAAATTTACAAAATGCTAGTGGCCATCCATCTTTTTAAGCTTTCACCACAATTTTGTTACCAGCTTCGTGGTATTAGCGTGCAAAGTTTCATGCCTATGCATGCTTTTTGACAAAAAGGAAAGACTTGGTTAGGATGATTTGGCACTAGATGCAATACAATCGCTCTTGTAATTTGAGCTAGCCGTGCAATATTAATTTTGAAAGAACGAATGTTTAAGGTACGAAATTTATATTAAATACGGAGTCGTCAAAGAGGTCAGGTGGTACTCTGTATTTGTTCGGTCATGCTTGTATACCGAAAAAACCCCGCGTTTTTGTCTTTGACCTATTCTACACATATCCTAGACGCATCGCATCGGTAAACCGGAGAAAACATTTTTGCTGGCACTTCTACGATTATTCTTCACAGCAGCAGATGTTTTAGATATTTACGTTCCAGTCCATTGCTGTTGTCTTTTTACTCTATACAAGATGATGTTCCTTGTTCTGTACGAAAATAATGCTCGCTTGAGAGCTAGAAAAACTGCAAGAGGACGGAAGAGAGGAACGCAAGAGCATTCAGCAGTTTTTCTAGACCTCAAAAGTGCATTGATTTATTAGAAAACACAGAATCACTATCTTTTATTAGGTTCAGAATGTAGCATAAAAAAGCAAAAATATTTACATCCGAGAAGGGGCGATGATTGAGCTTGCAACACAAGATCCGGGACATACACACTCTATTATTTCCAGCCGTGCGTCTATGAAAAAAATAATAGCGCACGCTCAGCTCCAGTGGCGGATATACAGCAGCTATAACCAAAGTTGAAACTGTCATAGCCAAACTCCACTGTAAAATTTTGTCGTTTCATGAAGACACTGCTGTGCAATTATCGTAACATAGCTAACGATTGTTAAATTATGTACTTTCATTTGTTCATATTTTAGATAGGTATTCATACTTTTAGGTCTGTCTCTCAACTTGTAATATAGAATCAAGGAAATTAGTTTTTGCATAGTCCAATACTTCAAAAGAGACCCAGTTAGTTCTATCCTTGCGTCCGCTATTAACAACCACTACATCTATTGGATGATTTACTTACTTCTCATCTATTCATTCAGTCATTGCTATTCTACAACTACAACAACAACAACAACAACAAGAATCTTTACTTTGTGCTCTATTAGATTTACAAATACAAGAAGAAAAGGGAAAAATAAATAAAAAATTATTAATGAATTTTAGGTTTAACATTTTCAGATAGAGAGAGCATAGGTACTTAGAAATGGCAAATTCTAGTCATGCTAAGTGGTTGGGCCATGCGAAAAAAAAATGAAAAAGGGAAGAGCTAGGATATACACCTAAACAATTTTACAAACACACAATCAAAAATGAAGAGGGGGAAAAACGAATAAGGGCTGTGTACTGGTTAATTATGTTCATTTAATATTTTGCTCCTGTTTTTATATTCACGTAGTTATTTCATTTGGAGGTTTTTAAGCGACATGTTGGTTATGTAGGTAAGATGACTTTTTTCTGTTGTAAGGTCACCAAGCATAGCTATAGACTGCGTTAGGAGTATCTTATTCAAAAGTTAAAGTTATTCAATAAGCAGCAAAACAACAACAACAACAAAAAAAACAAAGTTGCAAAAGGAGAAGGCGAGCAGGCACGGGATTTCACTCACTGCCTGCAGCGATTGCTACAAAGCGTAATCAATAATAAATTACTTATTAGTAACAAAAAAATACTTACAAATTTGAAATGTGTTGAGATATGTAAATGTACTTGTATTAAACGGTTTTGTAAATCCTTCTATAAGTATTTGCATAACAATCTTATTTTTTATTTATTTATTTTTTTAATATAAATATAGATGTGGCTCGCCTAGATTAGCCCAGGCTACCTGCGGGTTCGTGCTGTTGCTATTATCAAGCATTTTTAACTTAATCTGTATATCTATTTCTGTAAAAATTGTAAATATGCGAGTCATAATAATAATAAAAGTTGTTGCTGCTTTTTTTTTGATATTAAGCTATTATAATGAAGTTCATTGATAACTACCTTGTCTCCGTTTGAAGAGAAATTTAATATCACTGGTCAGCAGGAGACTTGAGGCAAAGCTAACAAAACCTCAAATAATAATAATAATTTCAAAACTTATAAGGCGCAAATATCTATGCAAATATATTCAAATGCGCTACAGAAGAAAAAAAAAGTTCAAAAATGCTAAAAGATAAAAAGATAAATCTGTTCGCATAATCTTCAAAACAAGTCCCACATTGATTTTAAGGAAACTGGAAAACAACTTTAATTTTCCTCGAATTAGAATGGTTCTTGTTGGTGTGTTTAAGCTTCGAACGTATGTTAAAAGTTCAAATGAGGTCATATCGGAACGGCTTTAATAACTAACAGTATACTATTCGATTGCGTAAATGAGATTGAATTAAACACAAGCGAAAAACTATCTTCCGGAAATCATTTCTACAGTTTTATTAGAAGCAAACGATGTGACTGAACAACAAATATTGACTAATTAAAGACGACTCAAAAGCAGACTTTAGATTAACGACCTTCCGAATTTGAACTCTCCCCAAGTCGTCTTTTGAAACGACTGAAGTCTACCCAGCCTTCAGGCTGTTCTGAAGAACGGCTAACCCTAAAGCGCAACTAAGTAATGCTCGAAACGTTAACATCTATCACACTGATTCGAGTAAGGTGTCACTTAATCACTTTGGTGAAAATGTAATTTAAGGCAAGGCGGTGATGGAAAGTTATTTATTTTGTTTTACAACTGACATTCAGCTATCACCGTAAGAAATGAAAACGCTAGAAAATTAAAAAAGAAAATGATTTGTAGGTTTATGTAAAGAGGGTATAAATAAAAATACAGCCTTTTTGTGTCATAAAGTGAAACCTCTCCCGCGCGAGTGTAAGTGACGCAAACAACAAGAGATTGATATAATAAAAAGCCAACCTTCACAGAAAATTAAGTTATAAATTATTCATCTGATTTTTACTCGGGTAAATAACCATGACAATACCTGATGGGACATACCGTAAACAACTGAGAACAACACAACAAGAGGAAAAAACGCAGGTGCACCTGCCTAATCTTTTCGTGGAGGCTCAATGCAAGGCCAACCGTTGGAAAATCCAATTTCTCACCACAAAAGGCAACGGTTAAAGTGAATTTACTTCGAATACGCTAAGATGGCTTCAGGACTCAACATTATATTTGGTGTCATCGGATCACTTGCCATCATCAGCAACTGTCTTTTGCTGGTAGTTATTTTTCAGAACAAGTCAATGCTGAAGAAGCCATACAACACGTTGGTTTTAAGTTTGGCCATTACTGATTTGATAACAGGTTGGTGCAGAGTTTTACCTTCCTTTCTGAACAACAATATCTGCAGAATTTCAGCAATTCTGTCACACAGTAGATGTGTTGACACGCAAATAACTTGTGCTTGGGGATAAACTTTACAATCAGCAATATTTAATACGATTTCTTTAGTATTTAGTGACGATTTAGTTTCAAGTGCATGCGTTTCTGAACGGGCGACAGGTTTAATTACCCCCTTCCAATTTATAAAATAATTCACTGTAAATTTCGGGTATTAAAACCAGTCATAAAAGAAAAAGTAAACTTTTATTTACGTTCAACATTCATAAAAACGTTAAATTAAATTCTTCATCGTTCTATGTAGCGTTTGGGTATGTCAGTTCTAAGTTGCTAGTACAATTCCCACCGAAACCTCTCCGATTCTAAATTTCATAAGTATTTTTTTGAATTCTGCATATTCAGCGGCTTTTCCGCCATTTGTTTTCTTATCTTTGTAGTGAATCGTCCGTCCCAGGAGGAAAAAAATTAGAATATAATGGAATAAAAACTTCCAAAAAACACAGAGGAACCGAAAATATCTACTTCTAGTTTAAGTTTTATAGGTCGACGTGCTATAGGAATGGAAAAGTGTAAGAGTTTCAGATGTACAATATATCACCAAATGTCGTCAGTTTTCCTCAGCCTGAATTACAAAATCAATTTTTCATTCCGAAAATCATGCCTCTAGATTTAAGCGGCATCTTTGTACCGACTGATTGACAGAATTCACTTCTTTACCGCTCATGAATCTACTTTAGTTAATTGCTACTTGTTAGGAGCTTATTCTTACGTTAGTTTCACTTAATAAGTTTGCTAGGTAGACAATTTGGAGGCTGTCGGCTCTGTAGTAAATATGACCATGGTATTTCTTGAGAATAACAATACTATTTTGGTCAGAAAGTAGGCTGCCTTAAAAGCCTTGAGGTAAATTTATTTACTTGCACTGCGTAAATTAGATGGGAAGTTCCGTCCTCTGGGAAACAATTCAAGTACCTGCAAATACGGCCTGCCATTCTGTTCACCCACGCAACATTCCTCAAATGAAAAATTTTCTTTGGCATGTTTTAACATTTCAAGTACACTTGTCATTTTCTTAAACAGAGAATTTGCCTTGGTGTCGTTTAAAATGAATTTAAAGTTACGCCAAGAAGAGTACTGACTGAGTTTTCCTCTATTTCTGTTTGAAAAGTGAAACCATTTTAAATTACTACTTTACACTTCAATGGACGTTCCTCGCACGGCTCTGTTAAACTTGTTAGCCATGCTAGTACAAGGTAAGGATCATTCACTACCAAGATAAGAAAACAAATGGCGGAAAAGCCGCTGAATATGCAGAATTCAAAAAATATTTATGAAATTTAGAATCGGAGAGGTTTCGGTGAGAATTGTACTAGCATGAGTCCGAATTTATTTTGGCTTTATTTTTACAACCAGCTCTATTGCATCATAACTGCGATGATCTTTTTATGTACTACAACTTTCTCCCGCTGTTTAAACATGTGGAATTTTCATTTATTATATGGCTAGCTCCATGAGCAAGCAAGATGAACCAAATACTTGGCACTGTCCCCGGGCGGTCAAGATGACACTCACTCACTCGAAATTACGCGCTGCGTCCCGCAAGAGAAAGTTCCCCGAAGCTTGTTCGGTCAAGATTACTGGACTTTGGCCTCGTTCTTCTTTTAGCGTGTTTATGGACCTCGACTCCGTCTTGGTCCATAAATACGCAAAAAAAAAAAAAACCTTGGACAATATCCAGCCATCTTGACCCCACACTTGGTCAATAACCCAAATGTATTCACTTGCTTAATGTTTCACAGTGTGAAACATGTTTTTGAACTTCTACCGACTTCGTGTGACTTATGCATACATGGTGACAAGACTTTCGTGCTGATAAGACTTTCTGAAGCCATCTTGACTCTTTGCTTGGTCAATAACCCATATATATTCGCTTGCTTGATGTTTAACTTCTACCAAAATCATGTGACTTATACATACATGCTGACAATAAGCTCTGAAGAGCTCTTAAGCGTTGCCACAGCAGCGCCAAATATATAAATGTTTAACTCCCATCTAATTTCACTTAATATTTAAAATACAGCGTTAAATAATTAATCTAGCTTTTAAGCTGTCATGAGTTCCTAGATCGTCAACATTTGCATAAATAAAAGATAACTTTTATCTTTGACGCAGCACCATATCCCTCTGAATACCCATTAAAAATGCAATGGTAAGAGTGTTTACATGGCCTGACGCAAACATGAGAGACAGTTTGGGAGAATTCGAAGGTTTAATTAAATCCGAGCCGCAGGAGCAGGTGTGATTGCGTTAGGCTGGGTGAACAACAAGTGGTTATTGTCTATGCATTAACACGTCATAACTTCGTTAACTTATGCTAATGTAAAAACAACTACATAACACGGCATTCATATGTTTAATATGTTACCAAGCTTTTAGAAAAATGATAAAAAGGCAGTAGTGTAACTTCTTTTCAAAGCATATCATGTATTTAATAATATAAAGCTTTTAAATACATTTTCTTTTTAATTCAAAGGAATTGGTATTTTAGCTACCCCTGTTTACGTAGTTGGGCCTGACTCAATCTCAGTTCCGCCCGGAGGCTTTGGCCAGTTTTTCTGCCGAGTAATATTTTCTCAGTACCTCGTGTTTACGCTGGGTATCGTGTCTGTGTATACAGTCACATGCATGGCTATTGACAGATGGCTTGCTGTAGCTCGCCCAACCAAGTATAAAACAACCTTAACGAGGCCACGAGTGAACATTTGTGTGGTGTGCATCTGGGCGCTTTCTGTGCTTTTGAATACTCCGCACCTGCTTGAAATGAAAGCCACGACCAGTCCAGATAACGAGCCGCAGTGTGAGTGGGTTGTTCTTACTCATGGAACAACCAGAAGAGTTGTGGCTATTTTGGAATTTTCAGGAAAGTTCTTCCTTCCCCTTCTTACAGCTTCCGTAACCATTCTAAGCCTTAACAACCACGTCAAGTCATCACCAGCTCTCTTTCAGACGAATAGAGGCAAAGCTGGGTTACGTTTAATACGCATGTGTATGTTAACGGCCATCGTGCTTGGAGTATGTTGGTTTCCTAACCAACTGTATTACATGTTGTTTAAATACGACATCACCGAACTAGATACACCCATGCATCATTTTACCGTGGTGCTCTGCATGTTGAATTCGTGCGTCAATCCCTTGATTTACTGCATCAGCAACAAAATATACCGAAGGCACTTTTGTCTTCTGGTGTGTCCATGGTACAGGGATAGGATTATAGCATTGGAGCAGACTGGAAGCGATCCTCATAGCGTGGCAAACGAGTTAAGAATCTCTAAAGTGTATGGACCGGCTGTGATGAGCGTCACAAATAGCACACATGCTTAAGTCATCATCTGTAACGCTTGACAAGTCAGGTCTTGCCTTAAGACATTATTGACTATTTTGAAAGTAGTGGAAAACTTAAACTAGATTTGCGCAGCATAAGATATCGAAATTAAGTTTAAGGTTTGGTAGTTTTCTTCTTTCTCCTATTTTGAACTTTAATTTGTGTTGATACCTTGTTTTCCTTTTCGTATGAAATAGTGATTTAAAATCGGTTTGCTATGTTTACAAGACATTAATGCAGCTTATGCAAGAACGAAATTAAACATTTAAGCTCTAATTTTCGTTCAAAACCGTCAATATAAAAAAAGGCCCTTAGAACGACGTTTATACTTTTGGGCGCAACCGAATGCCTGCGGAAATCACCACAGTCGATTAAAATGTCCTCTATTTCACAAATTGACGTCAGTGTTTTGTGCGTCCGTCCTCTTATTGATGGTAAATTGCGTCATAACATTGTCAAAGTGGCTGTGTCGCAGTATACCCAAAATGGTCAAATGCTGGGAATAAATGAGGGGAAAAGACGCCGTAAACTTGCCGTAAACAAAGATAAGTGAATTTTATTCAAAATGACGCGAACATTGTCAATAGCTTTTCTCGCTTTTTGATTGGCTACTTAAAAAAGTCCATAAAATCTCATTGGTTAAAAAGTTGACAGTTTGACAGCTGAAAGTTGAACTTGAAAGCTTGCATAAATTAAAATTTTATCCGTCTGTACTCTTATTGATGATAAAAATGAGCCAATCAGCGCGCGAGAAATTAGACGGTTATTGTAAAATTATATTTCAACGTTTCTTCAAATTTAAGGTAAATACAAAGGTTTTTGCGTCAGGTTAGGACCACGCGGAGAAAGTAGATTTTTACAAGGGCTATTGGAATCAACAAAGAAAAACTGGGGCAGCCACGCATTTTTTCGACCTTGAATCTCAACAAAAATGCTGACATCAGCATTTTCCTGAAAAAAGAAGGCAAGGATACTTCTTTACAGATTTCCTTAGAATTCGCCTTTACATACAGAAGAGCAAACACAGTTATAAAGATCTTAAGACTGCATGGTAAATGGTAACATAAAAATCATTATTGGTATGTTTTTAATAAAAAAAAAATCGTTGCAACAGCGCTTTTTATTTCAATAGATTTTGATAACATGAGTCACAGTAAGCAAACACAATGTTCACTTATTGACCAACACAATGTTCACTTATTGTTCACTTATAGATTCAGAATCGTAGCTTCTAATTTGACTAATTTATGTTGATGTTATACGACCTGCGAATAATCTAATTGAGGTGGCCGAACACAGTTTTCGCGCGCGCTTTTGCCTATGCAATTCAGCGCGTGCACAAGGATTGCAAAAACAAACATGCCCTCAATAGAGCGATCATTTTATTTACCCAACACCCGCAGTGTCTGTGCTATTTTTCTCTATAACTGAAGGCAGTGTATTGATGGCTTTAGTCTTTTATTACAAAGATATGTTAGAAAAGGTCACGATGCAAAGAACCAAGCAGTTCTCAGCTTTTTCTTTCTTACCGAAAGAACCTAGTTAAATGCAGCGCATACGTAGTAAGTTAAAAAATTGCCGAATTGAATGAAAAATTGCACTCTCGGAAATACGCCTATTTGTCGAGAACCACTTATTAGAATTTCACGAAATTTGGCACGAAGATACTTTAGGAAATAAGTAACTGGAGTATTGAAAATAATTGAACTTTAGCAAAAGAAATTCTAGATATTCCAGTGAACCTTCAACAAGGGATAATTGAAGATCTCTGTTAAATTATTAGCAAAATGATGTTAACTTGTGAGAATCGTTACAAGCTTGTTGCATGCAAATTATAAAATCTAATGACTAGATTTG